AGGCTGAAGTTTAATCCTACAGAAGACAGGAGAAGGAAGAGGAATCTGGCACCGAGCTGAGAGAGGGCCTTGAAGTTATGCTTAGATGTTGGAATTTTTTCTCTGGAATTACAGAATTTGAAAGGTCCTTGGAAGTATCCTTCTCCCATGACTGGCTTCTCTATATAAACAGTTCCAGAGGTAGACTTCTCTGGACCATCTCTTTCATTTTTACACAGCTCTAAGAGTAAGAAAACTATTCTGTACATTGAGTCAGACTTATAGACTCTGGCTATACTTTGTCTGAGGTATAGATAATGCGAGATTATAAACGGTAGAAGAACGTGTTTAGGGATATGTAACCCAAGGCCTGAACTAGATCTGTGGCAGTACACAAATAGTATGTCCCGAGAGGAGTAGGACTTGGAAAGCACTGCAGCCGTGAAGTGCACAGGGAGCACCCAGGATGGGTCGGTCACTGCTCAAGAGTGCTGCGCAAGCCCTGGGTCCTGCTCCTGAGGAAGATGGTGAGCAGGCTGCCAGGACAAGGACTGGGATGGTTCAGCTCAGGAACTGCACCCAGCTTGCAGGTGGAGGGCAAGAGGTCGGGAGTTAGGAGGCGGGCAAGGGTTTCTGAGAGGTAGCCACACTGACCCGGGAGGCAGAAGGGAGAGTGCTGCGGGGAGGGAGCGAAAGTGAGCTCTTTAAGGAATTGAAAGCTGTTCCGTGGCTGAACTGTACCATGTGCCAGGTGGCCAGAAATGGGGCCAGTGCAGCAGACAGTGGTTTCGAGGAACTGTCTGCCTTGCTAAGAATTGTGGATTATACCAGGAATTTGTTGAGAACCCAGGATTGTTAAATGTAGTCACTCTCCCCCAAGAGAGTGTCAGATGTATGCGCATGCATTTAAAATATTAGAACGTATAGAAAACATAGGGGAAGAAGTAAAAAATCACCTTTAATCTCTCCTGCCAGAAATAACTACTGTTGACACATTTCAGTGTTTTTCTCATCATGTGTATTCCTGTGCATAGGTGCATAAGAAAAGCATGACCTTGTTGCAAATATAGTTTGTGTATGTGGTGTTTTCTCAGCTCACATACATGCCAGCATGTTTTAACAATGCCATTAAAAATTCTTTGAGACATTACTTCTAATGACTACATACTGTAGCCCAAAAGATGATGATATTTTATTATACTTGAATGTCTTATAATGGGTTAGTTTTTAACTTGCTGCTTTTTATTTTTTCCTATTACCAGTAACACTGATAAAGAGCTTGTTTATAAACTTACCCTCACATCTGATTGTTTTCTTGGGGTGCATTTAGCCAGGTCCATGCTGCAGTGGGATGGCCCAGCTGTCCAGTGGTGTGGTGGGCTTTGTGTCTGTGACAGCGTTGTGAAGGTTTACCTGCAAAGAAGTGATCCTTATTTGAGCAGCCTTATTTGAGCAATGTAGCCAAAGTGTGAAGGCTGAAGCTAGGTTACTGGTAACAAGTTTAGAGAAAGAGGAGATAGCGCTGACACTTCAGGTGTTGGCACGACAGCTTTCTGTAAACATGATGAAAGCTCTTGGCGCTTTTTACGTACTTATTCAAGGACTTTAGGAGCCTCTGGAGTGGGAGGTGTCGGGGTTAGTGATGCTCTTCCCCAAGGTAGGCAGCGTCAGGAGGAAGAACAAGTTTCGTGCTTTGGTCCAGGAATGGAAAACTTACCGGCTCAGTATTAGTTGTGGAGGCTTTAGAGATGCAGAGGTAAAGCTGTCGGGAAGACAGTTTGGAAGCTGGTCTGCTAGCTTAGGAGAGAGGTCAGAAAGGATGGCAGTGTGTGGGAACCATCCCCAGGAAGACGGTGGTGCTGAGACCCTGCGCAAAGAGCAAGGAGGGCTAGAGGTGAAGGAGTTGTGGTAAGAGCCATGGAAACCGACTCGGAAGATGACTTGTTCCAAAGTAACAGACAAGAGAAGCTAGAAAAGGAACTGTGAGATAGTTACTACAGGAGAGTGGGATTGAGGGTGCTGAGAGAGGGAGTTCCAAGGAGAAGCTCGTCAAGCCATCAGGTGATGGGGAGATAGAGCAAGAAAAGGGCCGGGGGCGGGGGCGGTGCACAGGAGCAATTCAAGTCGCTGTGTTGTGGGACAGTGGATTGAGAACCGCGGGCCAGGAGCCCGACTGCAGCCATGGTGTGCAGAGTAAAGGGATCAAAAGGAACAAGGGACGGTGCTCCTGGACGCTTTTCTCAGAAGGGCTGAAGGGTGTGATGCAAGCAGCTGAGGGTTTACTTTTCCTTCTCGTTTATTTGAAGCAAGGGAAGCTAGGTTTACAAATTGTCATGTGACTTGCATTACCTCTCCAGCATTTGCTCTTCTTTGTGTTTAAAACTCTTCTCTTGGCAGTTTTTCTGTGTTGAACAACACACGCCATCCAGGTTCCCAGGGGAAGCACTGCTGCTCAAGCTCCTGGTGTCCTACAGCGCTGCAGAAACCAGTGAGGCCGGTGCATCTGTGCACGTGGTCTCGCTGGGTTGTAGCAAGACTTTGCATTTAAGCTTCAGCAACTAGTATTTGCAAGTGCAGCTTTAAAATTACAGAATATGCCTCTGCCCTTGAAGTTTGATTGTTACCTGAAGAAATGGTCAAAAACAATAAACGTTTAAAGCTTACAGTTTAGAGGAGTCTTTTTTGTATTGCCAATTGCTGAATGACAGAGAGCTTTAATTCTAACAAGTTTTAATTAGAGAGAGCAAAAAATCAAAGGGTCATGTCAGCCAGAGTCATAGCAAACCAGACCAAGAGAGCTTTTATTGGTTGCAGAACGTCAGCATCCTGTGGCGGTGTCTTTTTCACCTCCGTTACGAACAGTGAAAACACTGCAGACGTCTCACAGAGGCTCAGACTCTCAGTGTCCTTGAACGCAGAATCATTTTGACGGGTGTTTTTCACTGGCAGTGTGCTCTTTGGGGCTGCAGAACTTTTAAAGATACACTAAATTCTTGGTTTTAAAAAACAAAGCAGTATGATAAACATTCCCAGGAAAGGAGGAAGTAGATAGTGCAGAATACACCAGTTCATAGTTTGACAGTGAATTAGCCTATTTTTGAATATTACTTCTCTCAGAATAATTACTTTAAAGATGTTGACATTAAAAAGAGTTATCACAGGCTGGACGTGGTGGCGCATGCCCCGAATCCCAGCACTGGAGAGGCTGAGGCAGGATGATTGCCGTGAGTGTGCGGCCAGCTTGGGCTGCACAGTGAATTGAAGGCCACCCTGAACTACACAGTTGGACCCTGTCTCAAATAAAAAAAGAGAAAAGAAAAAAGAGTTGTCACTTTCTTAGAGATCGTTATGTCATATTAGAAAAGTTTTCCATGTAGAAGATCAAATAGAACAGCATGGATGTATGACTTTGATTTTTATAAAAAGCCTGATTTTCTTTCCCTTACGATGAGATTTTACCATTTTCTAAGATACGAGTTTGCACTAAAATTCTCAGCCCTTCCTTCTTTCTTTGTTTTCCAGTGAATTTAACATTATTTATTTTAGCTGCCTTTACACTTCTCCCTCCCATCCAGTGTAAAGCTTTAACCACTCCTCCATCAGTATGGCCAGCTCCCTTGCTCCTTGACTTCAAGGGCTCTGTTCGGTCTACCTAGAGTCAGCGAAGGCAGTGGGTTTGACATCTTGCCGCTGACTCTGGCTGGCTGGAACTCGGCAGTCGTGGCATTGATAGCCGCTGCCAACCCACAGCCCTCAAGGTGTTAGCCCTCACGATGGCCCTGGCTAGCAGCCTTGCTTCCCGAAGCAGGTCTTCCCTTGGTGACTGCTCTGCACTTCCTCCTGTACCTCTAAATTTCTCCTGCCGCCTGTTCCCTTGGTCTCAGAAGGTGATGGAGACTCCTGCTTTATTGAGGTCACCAGGCCGGAACTTGTGAATTTCTTTATCCCCAGCCCCAACCCTGTTCACCATTTTTTTCTCAATGTAGCACCTTCCAGCTACTTTCCTACTTTTTCTCAACTTTGTTACCAGGTTGCTTAAAGCAGTGCCTACTTGCTTACCCTTCTTCTATCTTTTGCCCAAATTGTTCATGACAAGTTTCTCGGTGACCTGTAAAGCCTGTGAGGTGCTTTTCAGCTTTCACTGTGTTTTGTGTCTCTAGGGCAATGGCGGCGAACCTGTCAGAGCTTTCAGTGATGACAAACACCCGCTGCAGCTGCCTGCCGGAGTGCACGCCACTGCTCTGTGGCACTGTGTCATGACTGAGCAGTTTCAGTCTTTAGGAAAAGCCTCTAGTATTTTCTCCCACTTCAGAGTCTCATGAATTCAAACTTCAAACATGAATTCAGAATATCAGAAAAAGTATTTAATGCTTTAAAAATAATAGTGGTTGTAAAAGCATATGGTCTAATATCAATTTTCTTTTTATATTATGGAAATATGTTATAATTCAGTATCAGATATACCCTTAAAATAAGAAATATTTAGTTCATAAAATGCCTGACTGTGTAATTTCACTATGTATATCAAAACGAAAGCAACGTATTGTCTCACTAGTGTAAGAACCTGAAAGAGTGAATAAAAACTAGGACATATGATAAACATTGTGGATCGAATGGAAACTGCTCAAAAGTAAAGAGCAACTGGGATGAGAGAAAAGAGAAAAGAAAGAAGGGGAAATTTATGTATATATGTATATACAGGGTAGCTAACATAGTTGTACTCCTGACTTCTATCCTTTATTGAAAGGAGCAGTTGATGATTAATTATGTGATCAATCTTGCATGTCTCTATTTGTTTTCCTGAGAAACCACTTTGAAGATATCAATATATAATACAACAACCGTTGTTAATTTTCTGTCACCTTGTCTGAAATTCAGTATTGCTCATACTGTTCTTGTGCTGTTTTGTAAATGGATGTCTGTTAATGTTTTCATTCTTTTATTTTTAAAATAAAAAAAAATCATAATAATAAAAACATAAGAAATACATGTTAACTCCTCTTTGGTTTCTTCTTTTTTAGTTAATGAAGGAGTTCCCGCTCCTTAGTATGTTCAACATCCATGAAAACCTTTTAGAAGCCCTTCTGGAGCTCCAAGCGTATGCTGATGTTCAAGCAGTTTTAGCAAAGTATGATGGTGAGTCCTGGGGTATTTTCATGTGCTTGAGAACTCCTATCTCCGTGACATAGTTAGTGATTAGATAGGAAGGGTCTTTTCAAGTAGCACAGTAGTTTAATAACTCTCCTGTCAAAAAGTTTCACCTGCAGTGTCGTGGTGGTGTTTCATAAAATCCTTGAGTTCATGCTCAGCAGGGGCTCATGCCCCTCTACACACACACGCTCTTCCCACGTACTCTGCTGCGTTCTCCCCGGGAGGCTCTGTGCTCTGCTTCCCTCCTCCGTGGTCAGGCAGAGTCACTCCTGTTTGGACAGCACCAGCTAGTAGAAGTCTTGCTGTGACATTCACTGTGACCTCTCTCTGTTGGCCTTGTGGGTCCTCTGGAGCAATGTGAAACGGCTGGCGTGGCCCTGCACCTGTGGCAGCTCAGTAGCTACCTGAAGATAAAGCTGTGTGCCCTTCACCCTGATCTCCTCCTCACTGCAGAATAGCCTGTTTCATGGAGAGCCTTCAGTGCCCTTCGCCACTGTGGCGACTTTTCCATTTTTCTATTCTTAACACATTCCTATCCTTAACGTCTTAGAGATTTTTAAACATACCTCATGTTGGTATTATCCAGGAATTCAGTATTTGATCAATCATATAAAAATTACCTGCATAATTACCTGCCGTGATCTAGCTACTGGAGTATCTGCAGAAGTCCATACTGTTCTGCCCTATTTCAGTAAGTGCCCCTAAAATAAATGTGTTTGCCTACAAGATGGATATTACAGAGTGAGAACATATATAATTTTTACTTATAAAATATTCTTTCTTTAGTATGCACCTTTAGTTCATTTAAAGAAGTATTAAAGTCAGTAACTTCCAGGAATTCATCGAACACAGAATAAGCCAGACCATTTGGGTCCTTATTTTATTTTATTTTATTTTATTTTAACTTTGAGACAAGCTCTCACTATGTTGTTCAGGCTGGCCTTGAACTCACGGTGATCCTCCTGTCTCAGCCTCTTGAGTGATGGGATTACAGGCATGTGCCACCACACCAGCTGGGTCTTATTTTTGACACAAAATTTTTAAGCTATCTTTGAAATGGATTGGGTTTGTTAGCTCTTACAGTTGGTACAACTGAGGTATTATGAGACTGTATTTGTTTAGTTTTTCTCAAACTCATGCTCAAATTGATGGAAATTAAGCCTTCAGCCCATGGTGGCATTATTTTTCCTTTGTAGACATGAGCACGCTGTGTAATAAGGTATATGCTTTTAGTATGGAACTCATTTTAGAAAAGAGAAACGTATTTGTGGAACACTTTAAAGTACACAAAATAAAGACTGTTTGGATCATGTCTGCTCATTTTTACTTTTTTTTTTTATATGTTGGAATCACTGTACAGCTGAACAGTGGTGTGGGCTTGGTGGTCTAAGTTGGGAGGCTTCCTTTTAGGCAAAACGCTGCATTGAGATTCCTTTAGTATCAAGGGAACCCGTGCCCACAAGTTTAGGTGCCAGTGTACTTTTCCAAATGCCGTAGCAAGGCTGCAGTGCTCCTCTCCAGTGCTGACCTGTGCTCCAGTTGATACATCAAAGCTTAAGAAATAAAGATTTAGCGAATAGAGCCTTACGGGTCGTAAATCACATGAGGCCCCTTTCAGTGAAGATCTTGGTCCATCACAGAAACCATCATTCTGTGTTGCAGAACTGATTGCAAAATTAGAAATGAGCTCATGTGGACCTCTTCACGTTCTCTGTGTGTCCTGTTGCACAGCGTCCGTTCTACAGCAACCAAAGGCTGATTTATTAGATTCTGATAACATACGTTCATGTTAGTTGTTACAGCAGTCCGCCCCACCCTCCACTAAAACTTGGCTCCGCTTCGAAAAATTCCTTTGTTGCAAATGGACAAACTCACCATATCAAGGCTCTTGTGTTGAGCTTTGTTTATGTGTGTACCTGGCAACAGAAATAATGTCCTTGTTCATTATTCATGGAAAAAGAGCTTCATGAGTGGCAGGACACATGGTGTTGCTGAGATACCTCATCAGGGGTTCTGAGTCCTGCACTTGTCCATAGAATGCAGATGACCTAACCTTGACTGAATTCTGAAGGGAGTTTCGGTGCTGACTTGGCTCAGCTCTCCGTCATTTACGGTAGAAATATAATAAAGTGGCTGCTGAAGTTACTGTTCTTGAGAGGTGACCTGCATCCACTCAAGACTGTTGAAAAATGTGTGTCTTGTTCCTCATCCCGTACCATAAAATGGGTTCTTTCAAGTTCAGCACTATTCCTTTTCCTGGGGTCTTGAAGGACCCTGAGTGAGCTGCTGGCCCTTTATCTGCTCTGTGCAAGAGAAGTGGGCGCTCTGGAGTGCTAAGCGTACAGCTTCTGGGGTGCACCCTGTTCTTTCCTACAGGTGTCCCCATTCTCACCGTGAGGTGTTGGAGGTAGCGCTTTGAATTCCAGTCCCTCCGTCTCTCTCCACTGAACTGCACCCAGAGGAAGAGGGTTATGTATTATCTTTGCAGATTGGAACACTGCCAGGGTAGCTGCTTCTTGGACGGCGTATGGGCAGGTATACCAGTGCCCCCAGCTTTCTGCATGTCTTCTTTTTTTCTTGGTATAAGTGCATTATTGGCTGTACAGATTAATGGATGTTTTGTAGCAGATTCATCCATGCTCATAACATACTTTGATCCTTTGTGCTCCTCTAGCACCCTTTCCCACCCTCTCCCTAGTTTCACATATTTTTGGAGGGCTCAGTGCATATATTTTGATTGTACCCAAGCCCCCTACTGTCTGCTCTTACATACTTTCCCTTTCACCCTTGTTTCCATCCTCTTGTCTAATGACTCCCGTCTGTTTTCATGTCATCTTTTTATAGGTTCCACATATTAGAGAGAACATGTGATATTCGTCTTCCTGAACCTGGTTTATTTTGCTCAACATGATAATACCCAGAGCTCTCCACTTTGCTGTGAATGATAGAACTTGTTGATTTTTATGGCCATATATATATATAAAAACACATTTTCTTGATCCATTCCTTCACTGACCGTACTTAGTCTGGTTCCATATCTTAGCAATGGTGAATTGTGCTGTCATGAACATGGTTAACACAGGTATCTGTACAGTATACTTACTTTAATCTTTTGGCTCTGTACCAAAGAGTGGTAGAGCTGGATCAAACAGCAGCCCTATTTTTAGATTTTCAGGAACTTCCGTACTGATTTCTATAGTGGCTGAACTTATTTACACTCCCACTGGCAGTGTAGAAGAGTTCCTTTACCCTACAGCCTCACCAATATTTATTGTTTTCTGTATTCTTTTTTTATTTTAAAGAGAATAAAAATAACAATAACAACATAGAGAAAAACAAAACAATACAAAAGCAATAAAAATTATACAGAGTTTCACAACAAAATGATAGGAATTAACAGTGGTTGTTACATTACATACTGTTATTGTCAATGAACATGGCGGTATCTAGTGTCTTCTTCAGAGTCTTCCTTCAGAGTTTTGTAGTTTTCATTATGGAGTTCTTTCACCTCCTTGGTTAGATTGATCTCTAGGGTTTTTTTGTTTTTAAACTATTGTGAATGGAATTATCTTCCTGATTCCTAGTCCTTTATTGTAGATAAGCTATTGATTTTTAATGTCGATATTATGTCTTAAATCCTTTTTTATTACTTAGGTGGTTGAATTTTTTTTTTTTTTTTTTGGTGATACAGAATAGTGAGGTTCATTCTGGGATGTTGGAAGTGCCTGAATATTTAAGTAGTTTTTTGGGAAGTGACACAAAGGGAACAGTGCTGATTTTCTGACCTTTGCAAAAATTACTTCAGGAAATAGCAATGCACAAGGAGAAAAAAAAAACTTGTTTGGGGAAAGGAGCAAGGTAAAATGTATTCTCTTTGCTTCTTTCTTCTCCTGCACCATTAAAAACATTTGTCTGCATGAAACTCCTTGACAATCCCAAACTCCTTTGGTGGTAAACAACTTTAGGAGTTGTGGTTTACCTATTAAACCCTCAGAGCCTAACACACATTTTGTCATTTCATGGCAGTACCATGGGAATGTCACACCCATTTTTGTTCTTTAGAATGTTTGTATTGATGAATTAATAATTTTAATTTTATGAGTTTTATCATATTAAACAATGAGTGCTTAACAGAAAAAAATCATAAAAATAAAGTATTGAGTTTTTAATATTGTTTATAAAATCCATCAAAATTTTGAACATCAACTGGTTTTTGGTGTACAAAGTCTAAAAAAGAATATCAGAAATAAATTCCCATGTGAACTACAATAAAAATCCTAATAGACCTCTACAAAAGGAAAATAATCTTCAGTTATCACACCTAAGGCAGTCTGCACACATGACAACAGCATGTTCTATACATACACATCACTTACACTGACAGCACCTGTATTTTGCTTTCCTGGCCTTCTTGTAAGACGTACTTCACATCGCAGTGGTCTCGCTGTATAATAAGTGCTTAGAATAGACATCAACATTTTCACATGAGCTGCTTCCTTGCTTACAAAGCCTAAGACACAACATCAGCGATAAAACCTATGTGAACTACAATGAAAATACCAATAGAACTGTACAACAGAGTCTTTGCATCGTCACGCCCACAGTAGTCTTCACACGTGAAAATTGCATGTTCCATACACACCATGGCTTATTCTCATAGCTCGTCTGTACTTTCTTGTAGGGCACAGTCACCACTTCTTTGTTTTTCTGTTGTTGTAGTAGGTCTTGGGATGCTGTACCTGTCAGCTCACCAGTATGGTCCACAATGTTTTGCATAGTTTTTCCTCTGCTGTAAATGATCTGTTATGAGTTCCAATCGCAGTCCTCTAAGAAAATTTCTCCATGGTATTTTACACCTGTTATTTTCTTTATAAAGTATCAAACTATTTATGCCACACATGTTTAGGATCAAGTAAAACACAGCCATTGGCCAATGCTTCCTACTTTGAGTGATATTAGAGTTGATGTTTAACTCATCAACAACA